GTTTATGGATTTGCCATTCCAACAGGCAAATCCATGAAATTCATTTCACAGGACATTGACCAAAGGGAATGTGGAATAATGTTCTCTGGGTTTTGACATATGATCAAGTGCAAGTTTGCTAGGAGGAAAGAGGACAAACAACAGCCTTGAAACGGGTGAACCCCTCCACAATAACCACGGTTAATGCACAAATAAACTTATTTTATTAGGTTTGGCTTCCCTCTTGTGGCAATGAACAAACTGGAGCCCTAATGTCTAACCAGGCCTGGTGCTCCTCCTCTGCTTTATTTCCTCCAGAGCCACTTGCACATTTCCATCATTTGAGTGACATTTGTGAATTTACGACGATTTTTTCCCCCGGCAGCGTGTGTGAGAAGGTACCACTGCTATTAATAACCCGTGTTTCATCAACAGAATTGAGAGCTATTTATAAAGGATGCTGGTATCTTGCTTTTTTTGCAGATGGGGGAACTGAGGTGTGGAATAATTAGGAGCCAATCAGCAGGTCCAAAGCAGAGCTGAAAATAGATCCCAAATCTCCTGAGCCTCAGGGCCACGTTCTGCCTGCTCCCCTGCCAAGGTGGGAGATGGTGACACTCAGCTCTAGGTACCACCTACCCCGTGTCTGTTATTCTCAGAGTTTCCCAAAACATTCTTTATGCCTTTGATATTTCAAGGCCAACCTCGTAAGACAAATAAATAAATCAAATAATCTCTAAGAAAATCCAAGTGGACTCACATCACCTTTCCTAGTTAAAGATTTGCAGTCAGTGTTTATTCCCCCCTCAGCCAGCTCACCCTTAAATTATTTTTTTTTTTCAGGTGTCCTACAGCATCTTAAAAGAATTTAGATTATTTTTTAAAGTCTGCGGGCACCTGGTTGTGGGTCTCTCCCCCTTTTACAACGGCTGCATGGAAAATAACTGCAACCACCACGAGCTGCCCCGGAAGCATCACACTCACAACAAAATAACAACGATGAATCTCTTTCCTATTGAAAGACACTAACCTGAAACCCCCCTGGGAGGGCAGGAAAATGTGGTTTGAGGTGCTCGATTTTGCAGATCAAGGGCTTTTAGAGGAGTGTTGTGCTGCTGCGGGCAGAGAGTTCAGTCACCCACCTCGACTGACATTGCCCCCGTTTGGAATTCCCCTGACCAATTTTGTGTGTTTTTCAATCATTCTTTCCGGTTTGGAGGGGAAAAAAATTAAATTAAAGCTTTTATGTCCCTGCCACTGTGTGAAAAACTCTTTTTTAATGGGGAAGTGAGTCAGGTCGTGCCTGGGCAGGGGGATTTCGGAGGGTGGGCCCAGGGAGCTCTTGATTTACCTGCCCAAGCAGAGCTGCTTGTGGAGCAGAGGTGTGGAAAACACTCACCTGGACTGGACCCAGCACCAGCTGCGCCTCTGGAGCCATTGGGAAAGAGGGAAAAACCCCAACAAACCCCCTCCAACCCCTCCTGCAGCTGCAGGAACAAACCCATGGTTGTGGTGGGGGTGAGTTCAGTCCTGACCTTTTGGGGCCAGGTTCTCTGGGATGATGAACTGGAGCACCAAGAGTGGAAATTCCCCCACTGCTGGTAAACACCAAAGTTTTTTGTTTTGTTTTGTTTTGTTTTGTTTTTCCCAGAGGAGCTGCTCAGGAAGTTGTTTCCAGCTCCAGCCTGGCTCCCCTGGGTGTCCCAGGTGCCCAGTCCTGGGCAGTGCCAGGTGCAATTACTGAATAACAGGTGGGGAACAGCAGAGCTCAGGTTTCAGGTGAGCTGCAAGGTGAGGGAGGGAAGCACTCGGCGTTTCCAGCACTGCTTCCAAACCTGGCCTCAGGAGTTTAATCATTAGAGGGCTTTTTGGGTTTCTTCCCCAAGCCCTGGCCTGGTGCAGGGTGAGCCCAGCAGGTTTTGTGGCACTGTGGAGATCTCAGGTGGGCTGTTAAAAACCTCCTCTTTCCACCTCTCTGTGCCAGCAGTTGTTGGTGGAGCTGGACAAGCCTTGCTCTGGTTTTTAGGACACCTCCTGAAGCAGAGCCCCGAGGGAAACACCTCCCCAGCACCCCAAGGCCTGAGAACTGTCCCCTTCTTTCTGGAGGGTTCTCAGTGAAAGGAAAATAGCACACACACTTTGCATGGTTTCAGTGGTGGTCTGACTCAGCAGGAGACAAAAAAGGGAGGTTTTTTTCTATCCCCACATGACTAAAACGAGCACTTTAAGGTCACTGAAGGGGCAGAGCCACAAGAGAATGTTCTTCTAGGTGATTCTCCTGGCCTTGCAGATGTTCGAGTGCTCATGAATTGACCAGACTGAAACCAGGGACACAGGGAAATGGCAAAGGGGCAATATTTATTTATAATATAATATTTAATTTCTTTGCAGAAGGAAAACCTCCTAAACCCTCACATCTATGACAATGGAGGAGTCCATTATTGTGACAGATGTCAAAATACAAGGACAGGTTTTATCCTAAATTTTCCTCCCAGTGGAAAGCATCAAGGTACAAACTCTTTATCAGCTGGGGGATGCTGTTTGTCCAAAATTAACCTGTGAAAGGTGGTCTGATTTTAATTCTTGAAGGCATTATCAGGCTTTGACCCAATCCCCAGCTCAGTAAGTGCCCTCAGCACTCAGTGACTTGGCTCAAAAAGCCAGATTTTCTGTCTATTAAAATGCTGCAAGATCACAGAGTGTTCTGGAATTACAATAAAATAATTTGGGATTTGAAACCACCCTTGAAATAAATGCATTTGAAAACTTCAGTGCAGGCACATTATCAAAAAAATAATGATTTTGTTAAAGAAAAGCACGTATTTTTCTACATTTTAGACATGCTTTTCTCAGTAGTGTAATTTTTAAAGTTATTGAAAAACAGAGTGATAGAATCACAGCTTCTCCTCTCCAGGTGAGCACCCCCAGCTCTCCCAGCCTGTCTTGCTGTGTCTCAGGCTCAAACCTGTCCTTGTTCCTTGCAGTGTCAGCCCGGGATGCAGCCAGGAACAGAGGAGGGAATTAAACCCTGACAGCCAAAATAAATCGGGTTGGAGCCGCTGCCTGATCCCCGCTGGGACGCTGAGCTGCGTTTCAGAAAGAGCCTCGCTGGAACTGTCCTGGCGTCCTGGAACGATCCCAGCGCTCGAAATCTGCAGCGAGAGCGGCACCTAGTGCCCGGATCCTGCAGATCCTGCAGAATTCCCGCAGCCAGCCAGGCATCCATCCCTCCATCCATCATCCATCCATCCATCCATCCTCCATCCATCCATCCATCCATCCCTCATCCATCATCCATCCATCATCCATCCATCCTCCATCCATCCATCCATCCATCCCTCATCCATCATCCATCCATCATCCATCCATCCTCCATCCATCCATCCATCCATCCCTCATCCATCATCCATCCATCATCCATCCATCCTCCATCCATCCATCCATCCATCCCTCATCCATCATCCATCCATCATCCATCCATCCTCCATCCATCCATCCATCCATCCCTCATCCATCATCCATCCATCATCCATCCATCCTCCATCCATCCATCCATCCATCCCTCATCCATCATCCATCCATCATCCATCCATCCTCCATCCATCCATCCATCCATCCCTCATCCATCATCCATCCATCATCCATCCATCCTCCATCCATCCATCCATCCATCCCTCATCCATCATCCATCCATCATCCATCCATCCTCCATCCATCCATCCATCCATCCCTCATCCATCATCCATCCATCATCCATCCATCCTCCATCCATCCATCCATCCATCCCTCATCCATCATCCATCCATCATCCATCCATCCTCCATCCATCCATCCATCCATCCCTCATCCATCATCCATCCATCATCCATCCATCCTCCATCCATCCATCCATCCATCCCTCATCCATCATCCATCCATCATCCATCCATCCTCCATCCATCCATCCATCCATCCCTCATCCATCATCCATCCATCATCCATCCATCCTCCATCCATCCATCCATCCATCCCTCATCCATCATCCATCCATCATCCATCCATCCTCCATCCATCCATCCATCCATCCCTCATCCATCATCCATCCATCATCCATCCATCCTCCATCCATCCATCCATCCATCCCTCATCCATCATCCATCCATCATCCATCCATCCTCCATCCATCCATCCATCCATCCCTCATCCATCATCCATCCATCATCCATCCATCCTCCATCCATCCATCCATCCATCCCTCATCCATCATCCATCCATCATCCATCCATCCTCCATCCATCCATCCATCCATCCATCTATCCGTCCATCCATCCTTTGGACTGGGAGGTGTTGGGATGGAGTTTGGACCTGGAGGTCCATGGAGGAGCTGAGATCAACCTGCAGCCCCTGGGGAAGCCCACACTGGAGCAGGGGATGCACAAAAGGTATGATCCCATGGGAATTCCACCCTGGAGCAGCTCCTGGCAGGGATCTGAGGCCCTGTGGGGAGAGGAGACCCCCTGGAGCAGGTTTGGTGGGAGGGCTTGGGATCTCATGGGAAAAGGGACCAACATTGGGGCAGCTCCTGCAGGAATGACCCCATGGAAAGGGACCCACACTGGGGCAGTTCCTGCAGGAATGACCCCATGGAAAGGGAGATCCACACTGGGGCAGTTCCTGATCCTGAAGAACTGATCCTTTGGGAAGTTCCCGTGCTGGAGAAGTCCATGGAGGACACCAGGGCTCAGGGACACCAAGGGCACGGGGCCACTGTGGGGACAGGGACACTGACAGTGACACTGGGGGCACCAGGACACTGGGGCAAAGGGACACCACGGGTACAGGGAGACTGGGCACAGGGACAGGGAGACTGGGCACAGGGACAGGGACACTGGGCACAGGGACACCACAGGGACACGGGTGTCCCAGGGACCCCGGCCGGGAGCGGGGGCTGCGCTCCCCCAGTGGCCCGCCAGGGGGCGCGCGGCCCGAAGGCGCCGCCCTGCGGAACTACATCTCCCAGCGTTCCCCGCGGCAGGAACGCCCCTAACGCCGCCGCGGTAGGCGTGGCCCCGCCGCGCCTGCGCAGTGCGCGGTGACCCTGGGGGCGGCCGGGAAAGATGGCGGCGGCAGCCGGGCTCGTCTTGAAGGTGAAACTGGGGGGCGGCGGGGCCTGGGCGGCTTTGGGGGGCGAGCGGCGCCGTCTGCCGCCCTCCAGCCCCGCGCGGGGTCCTGGACCTCCCCCTTCCTCCCGATCCTTGAGGGCTGTGCCGACCCCGCCATTCTGGCCCTTATTCCCCCTCAGGTGCGGCAGCTGAGCACGACGGCGGCGAGACCCGTGACCAAGCTGGTCAAGGTGAGGGGGCCGGGGCGCTGGCACAAGGGAGGGTAGGGAGGTCTCAAAGCTGGTAAAGATGAGGGGCAGGGGTGTCCTGAGGGGCCCGGAGGGGTCTCCAGGCTGGTCGAGGTGAGGAGGTGGAGATCGTGAGGGGATCAAGGGGGGTGTCCAGGATGGCAGGGCGGCGGGTCGTGAGGGGCTCGGGGCGGGCGGCTGAGGTGGTCACGGTGAGGGCAGGGTGCCGGGGGGGTCTCTGCCCCGCTCAGCGCCCGCCCGTGCCCCCGCAGCCGCCCATCCAGGTGTACGGGCTGGAAGGGCGCTATGCCACCGCCCTCTACTCGGCAGCCAGCAAGCAGAAGAAGCTGGAGCAGGTGGAGAAGGAGCTGAGCCGGGTCAGGGTAAGGTGTTCCGCAGCCGGGGCTCGCGGGGGTGGGAGCGGGGAGGGTTCCCTGCTGCTCCTCGGTTGGGAGGGGGCTGCTGTGACCTGTGAGAGTCCCAGCCTGCTGGCACCTGCACTGCCTGCTTGTGGACATGGTGTTTAAACGGGGTATTGGAAATGAGGAATTGTTCCCTGTTGAGGTGAATGCTCCAAGTGTGGGGACACGAGGCTTGAACTCTGTTTTTCTTAGGAGGTTGATTTATTATGTTATATAGTATTTTAAAATACTGCATTAAAACTATACTAAAAGAACAGAGAGAGAAGAAGGATCAGAAGGTTACAAAGAACAAGAACAGAATAGAATGTATAACCAAATTCTGTGACTGCTCACAGCCTTGATACAGGTGGCTGTGATTGGTCACTAATTAAAAACAATCTACATAAACCAATAAAAAATACACCTGTTGCATTCCACAGCAGCAGATAGTTATTGTTTACATTTCTTTCCTGAGGTTCTCAGATATTCAGGATGGGAAAAATCCTAGCAGAGGATTTTTCACAAAATATCATAACTGCAGTTCCCTGGCAGGGTGGGCAGGCCCTGGCACAGGGTGCCCAGAGGAGCTGTGCCTGCTCCACCCCTGGAAGTGTCCAAGGACAGGTTGGATGGGGCTTGAAGCAGCTTGGGACAGTGGAAAATGTCCCTGTCTATCCAGTTTTTAAGGTTCCTTCCAACCCAAACCATTCCCTGATTCTCTGTCTGGAGCATCTCACTTCCCATCAGCTCCAGAGCTCCTTGTTCTCATTCCAGAGTGCCCCTGTTGCCTGCCTTGGCTGCTCCAGGTGGGCCTCGTGATGCCAGGAAAACCCCTGGCGTTTGTCACGCCCTTGTGTGTCCCCTCAGAGCCTCCTGAAGGACCCCAAGCTGTCTGGCGTGGTGATGAACCCTCACACCAAGAGCTCAGTGAAGCAAAAAGCCGTGAACGACGCCCTGGCCAGAGAGAAGATGTCCCCAATCACCGTCAACCTGATGAGTGAGTGACCTCTGCGCTCTGGGAGAGCATCCCAGCCGTGCCATCCCTCGGGATTGCTGCTGGGGTGTGCCCTGCTGGTGCTGGAAGCCCGTGATGTTTTGCAGATCTGCTGGCTGAGAACGGCCGCCTGCGCTACACCCCGGGCATCGTGTCCGCCTTCGGGAAGATCATGAGCGCCGTCCGAGGGGAGGTGGTGTGCACGGTCACCACGGCCCAGGTGGGCTGGGCAGCTCTGCAGCCTGGGGTGGCAGGGAAAACAGGCAGTGGGGGCAAGGACAAACCTCTCCTGGTTCAGGCTGCACTCTGAGTGAAGTGCTTGAGGGCATGTCTCACCTCTGCCCAGCTGAACTGCTGACAGCCAGCACTTCCCAGTCCAAAATGGAAACTCTTCATCCCACTGCAGCTCAACAAGGTTTTCCTTCCTGTGTGTGAGCCCAGGGGCTGGCAAAAGTCAGGCTGGTCTGCACATAGAGCTGCTGCCCTGTTCTTCTTCCAAACAGTAAAATGTTTCATGAAATCAGGAGGGCACAAAGGGGTTGTTGTTCCTGTGCTGCCCTTGGGTTCTCCCTGTTCCAGGATGCTGACTTCCTGGTGCAAGTGTGTCCTCAAAGGAGAAAATTTGTATAATTTATATCGTTTGAGTGTATATTATTATTATATCATTTGAATATTTTTGCCCTTCATTTTCCTGCTCTTCTGTTCTTTTTTTTCAGCCCTTGGATGAGGCTAACCTCACTGAACTGAAAACTGCTCTGAATGGGTTCTTGGCTAAAGGAGAGGTGTTGAAGCTGGAGACTAAGGTCTGGATTTTTGACTTACAAATAAGTGTCACTAAGTTCACATTAAGGGCTTCTGTGTCTCTGATTTTTACAAAAAACAAAAAGATTTTATTGAATCCAATTTCTTTGTAACATAGTTCTGTGCTTTCTTGTAGACATGATAATGTTTTCATTTCTAAAATCTTCACTTGGGAATGCAGTGACCACAAAATCATCCTCAAAAAAGGCCCTTTGAAAAGCTTTACTTTTTTTTTTCCTAGTGTAAAACTTGTATTCTCTGGTAACAAACTGTTGCTAATCAACTTTCTGTTTAATGTTCCTTCCTTAGACTGACCCAGCAATCCTTGGTGGCATGATTGTCAACATTGGGGAGAAGTACGTGGACATGTCAACAAGGTCCAAGATCCAGAAACTCACCAAAATCATGAGAGAGACTGTCTAGAGAGCTGTCCTGGTGGTTCCCAGGGAAACCTGTCACATGGAAACAATAAAATTCTTCCTTCTT